CAAGGTGGACACAAAGTCATTTGGGGGTGACGGACTCTAGTAAGTGGGGGGAACAGGAATGGCTCCGTATAGGAGGTGGTCCTTGAGCTGAGCCTTGAAGAAAGGAGGAGATTCTATATGATGGAGGTGAAGAGGGAGTGTGTTTCAGGCACGGGGGACAAGCCAGGGAAGGCAGTCAGCTACAAGATGCAATGTCGTGTAATCAGCCTGAAATGGCAGGCTGGAGCCAGATTGCAAGGGCGTTAAAAGCTAATGGAATTCGTATTTCCACTAGAGACCAAAGGCTCCCTTATGGTCTTTGTGCCAATGACTCCCAGATCCAGGAATTCATCCCTCAGCTCTCTCCTTCGCTGCAGTCACACAGTACCAGCTGCCTATTAGATGTTCCTAAATTACTCATCCCATAGGCACCGCCAATTCTGTGCATCCCAAACAATTCATCCTTTTTTCTCTCAAATCTGCCCCTCTTCTTAACTTCCCTATTTCCATCAAGAGTGCCACCATCCTTCTAGTCCCCAGCCTCACAATCTCCAAGTTATCCTTGACGTCTCATGCTCCGTGATTGCCACGTCTTGTTTATTCTAAATTCACATCTCCCATCTGTCCCTGTTCTCTCCACTGACATGACCACCACCCTCATCAAAGCCCTCATCACCTCTAGCCTACACTGCTCTAATAGCCTCCTAAGAGGTCCCCTGCCTCAAGTCTCACCCCACTCCAATTGCTTTTCCATAGGTGCCAAAGGAATTTGCATAATTCTGACCCTGCTCAAGGAGCCTCTATGGCTCCTTAATCTCTAGGATCAAGTACAAACTCTAGGTCAGAAAATGTCAGAGCTAGAAGGGACCCTAGAGTCCAGTCCCCTCATTTTGCAAAGGTAGAAACTGGAATCCAAAGATGGAGAGTAACTTGCTTCAACTCACACATTAATAGTAGAAGCAGAACTAGAATCCAAAACCAGTGCTTTCACCCCACCGGCAGCCCAAGCTGCCTCAAGTGTTGGCCTGAAAGATCACTCTTCGTCCTGGGACTGAGGTCTCTGGGGTCACTCTGGTTGAGTCACAGAGATGGGGCTCTGAACCACAGAGAATGCTCTCTGCTACAGGCTCAGGAGGTAAGTAGGACGGAGTAAGAAGGATTAAATTTGAGGCAAGGAGGAAAGTGAAGGGATTTATGTGAGAAGGCATTGGGGAGAGCAGATTCAGGGGGGTTAAGAGACAGGGATGCAGAGAAAGAACTGATGGTGTCTGAATACAGATTGAAGCACACTTTTTTTAAACTTTTTTTAGTTGTTTTTTTTTTTTTGGTCTGTGTTTTTTTTTTTCCCACAACATGGCTAATATGGAAATGTTTTGCATGACTACACATATATAATCTATATGGAATTGTTTGCCTTCTCAATGAGGGGGGTGGGGAGAGAGGAAGGTTGAGAATTGGGAACTCAAAGTTTTAAAAACGAATGTTAAAAATAATTTTTACATGTAACTGGGAAAAAATAAAGTACTAAAATAAGTAGAAAAAAAAGAAAAAAAAGAGATAGGAATGATTGGGGTCAGAGACATACTACGTGGAGTCCGGAATGCATCTGTGTAATGGATCAGAAGCCCAAAAACCTTCTCTCATACTTCCTACCTAAGAAGAGAAGGAACGGCTGAGGCTGCCCCAGAGGTACTGGGTTTGAATCCCAATTCTGCTACTTGTGAACTGTGTGATGGTGGGTAAGTCCCTCACTCTTTCTGGGCCTCAGTTTCCTCATCTGTAAAATAAAAGGGTTCCACTAGATGGGGTCTAAGGTTCTTTCCAGTCCTGGATTCTGTGACTAACACCTCCTTCCCTAGCATGGAAGCAGGGACAGGCTTCCCCTAGAACTGGACAAATTTAGGTTCATCTTCAGGTCTTGAGCAGGTGAGGAGGGGCCATCTTCAGGATGGCCTGGCCCCAGGGTCAGCACTACAGCCTCATGGTGAGTGGGGACAGTATGCATGTGGACATGCATACACACACATACGTGTTTATTAGCACACATGACCTTGTCCCCCAAAGTACATATGCATTGATTGTGACTGTTTGGTGGCTGAAGAGGCCCATGGTGTAGGATTTCCCCATCAAGGGACATTTTTCATTGCTCTGGGGAGGGGGTGAGGCCTGAGGTCCTATAGCTGTGCCACAGTGCTCAGGGCCAATGAAAGCTGTAGGGGGAAGCCTTCTCCTCTCATAGTCCCTTTAACATGGACATAATCCTCTGCCCACCCCACTCATCCCACTGGAAGACTCCTGGGTGGCAAGGGACGGCTACAGTATCGATGGTATCTACAGTGTCTCCCTAGGGATTGTTCTCCTTGGGAGGGAGAGGCATATTGGGGCTGGGGAGTGGCTGCCCATCTCAGTGGGCAGACTGTTTTTTCTTTTAGCTAACCTAAGGTAGAACCAACCTGAGGTAGAAAGTTTCTGTTTGTTGGCAGGTCAGCCGTGGCTGGAGAAGCCACCCTGGGTGAGCCAGATGGTGACACTCAGTTGAGTGAACAGAGCAAGGGCTAGCCCTGGCAAACCTCCCTTCCCTGGGCACTGGCTATCGTCAGTACACACTGCCTGTCCCTGTGCCTCCTCCAGTCTGTATGTGCTGTGCTGACATCTGGGTGGTCACTATGGGCAGTGCCTGGCAAAATCTCTCTCCTCTGTGTTTATTTTGTCTTCTGGAAAACTCTTCAAAAGTGCAAGGCTTTCGCCTCCTATGCTTCAGGAAAGGTAATCTAGCCTAGTCTGAGAGGTGATGCTATGCCTTCCCAGAGGGGTGCTTGGCTCTTGTGGGTGGAGGATGCACAGAATGTCAGTTAGAAGGGGCCTTAGAGCCCAGGATGTCAGGTACTTTAAAAGAGAAAATGTAAGCACTGGGAAGGATCTTAGAACAAAATAAAATAAAATAAAATAAAAACAGAGAAAGACTTTGGAACAGGGGATGTCAGGGCCCGGGTGGGGGGGGGGCCTTAGAACAGAGGATGTCAGCTGGGTGGGAGCTTAGAGATCACCCAGTCCAATCTTTTTGTTTTATAAGAAGAAAACTGAGGCTTAGTGAAGGGAAGTCACTGTTTCAAGTGCACCTGTAAGATGCTGCCTGAGAGCCAAGGATTAGGTTGGGGAAACTGAGCAGGGTCTTGTAATTTTTGAAATACATTCCTCATAACCACCTTTTCCACTCAGTAGTTGTTGTTTCCACATTATAGGAAAAGAAACTGAAAATCAGAGGGTGAAATGATTTCTAAGATCATACATTTGATAAGGCAAGGGTGAAAGTCTGTATTGAAAACCAGATATTGGGGCAGCTAGGTGGCACAGTGGATAGAACACCGGCCCTGAAGTCAGGAGGACCTGAGTTCAAATCCGGCCTCAGACCGAACACTTGACACATACTAGCTGTGTGACCTTGGGCAAGTCACTTAACCCCAATTGCCTCACTAAAAAAAAAAAAGAAAAAGAAAACCAGATCTCCCGAATCCAAGGCTAGACCACTGACAGTAACCATGACAGAGAGAGAGAGAGAGAGAGAGAGAGAGAGAGTGTTCGGGCTTTGGGGACCATGAGAGCCTTCCCTGGGCACCTACACCCTAGGAGAGAGGTGGGAGGGATTTAGGACGGTAGAAGGGGCACCAGCTCCCAGGGCAAACGGGGTCTCAAAGAGCCCCTCTCTGTTTTTCCCCTTCTCTGAGCCTTGGAAAGAAGACAAGAAGCTCAACAGAAAAGAATGGTCCTGGGGGGGGGGCTATTTCAAACATGGGGGACAGACAGCCTGAGCATGGAGAAGGTAGGGTGAGAATGGGAGGGAGAGAAACCTAGATTGTTTAGAGCATAGGATGCCGAGCACCCCTGAAGAGCTGTCCTCCAGCTTCTGTTGGACACACACACACACACACACACACACACACACACACACACACACACA